GTATAACAAGCACTAAACGCGTTATCGACTATTAATATTAATATATTTATAATTTGTTTTACTGGTAATATCTTCAACGTTCAATAATTTCAAAAACTATTCATATTTATATATGTATATGATATCAATCGAGCTGTTTTAAGATCATAAGGAATTGAATTCAATAGGCTTTGATGATAGAGGCGTAACAATAATGATTGTATTCTAATGAGGTTATAATGTATAGACCGCGACTGAAAATAATGCATACATTTTTTTATAAGCAGAGGCAATGAACGTGATCACGAGTGTTTGGTTTCGGCGGAATTTCAATAATAACTGTATTTAGATACAGCTGTTGCAGATGTTGTTAGCAACATGCAAGGAATCTAGTTAAACTATTAAAGTTTTATTGGATTCGTTCTATAGAGTATTTAAAATTGATATTCGATTATATGATTATTTTTAAAGTATTTACTGAGATGTATTAAATCTATAGAGAAGTTTTATTAATTCTTGAATTTATGCGTATTCTGTTTCAATAATGGGATTTTATGTATTCACAGAATTTTTTCACAATTCAGTCTCCGATTGCGTGATTTGTGAGTGCTGCTCGTGTATTTATTATAAATAAACTCTCAAGGTGTGCGTGTTTAGGGATGCTTGCTACATATTATTATCTCCATTATTTAATAAGGTAAAAGTTTAACAAAATAAGTTGCATAAGCAATTTCCCAGTGCGAAATCCGTAGGAAATCAGAAAAACCATAAAAATGAAAATAGATCTTGGTATTATTATGCGGATTTCCCATATAATTGCGACACAATTTGACAGCACAAACCGACATAATTGATTATTTTTCGTGAGCACGTTATCCATAAATGATTCAAATGACACTGACATATGTGAGAACATTGTGAGAAACGAGTCTACGAATTTAGTAGTTCAGTAGACTTTATTTGCACCGTTTGGTAAGGTTAAATGTGTCATCTAGACAAGTTTATAATCAAGGTTGTGATTTAAAACAGTGACGTGAAATAAAACAGTTATAAATATTTTAAATGCACATATATTCATTACAATAATATTGTAATATTAATAATAATTTATATCACTTAAAACACTATTAAAGCTGGCACAGATTTTTAATTGGGTTTCACCGCGACGACTCTCTATTCCTATTAAAAAGTAAACAATAACAATATTATAGTAACGGCTATGATTATATATTAAGTTAAAATGATAACAGTTACGTTACACAGACACGGTGAACACAGAGATTCATTCAGACATCAATATACAATACGTTTATTAAAAAGTCACATCGATTTATTATTAATTATATTAACAAACAGCTTTAAACAGCATTTGCAAGGACACCCCATACGTAACAATGAAATTATTAGTAAGATGTTACCACCAACTAATATTATAAAGTATTATGGCTTGCTCACATAAGGAGCAGCTAATTCCATAGTCATTGACAAGTGATTCGACAGCGTTATATTTGTCGCAATACAATCGAGAAAGCAAGCAGCAAGATGACAAACCTGGCGATATTTTATCTGTGGATATAAATATTGTTTAAGAAATTGTTTTTTTGAGTTTATACCTTATAGATGTTATTGTATTGTATGAAAATAGTACCTATATAGAACTAAACGATTTATTATTGGGGAAATAGATAATTTACGGGTTTATATAGTATATCACCATCTTTCGTAAATATGTCCCGTTATTATACGGAACTGCAAATTGAAATTCGTTCAAAACATATTACATACGAAATTAAGATTTTAGTAAAAAAATAAGTAGAACCGTCCTAAATAAATATTAAGTATACAGCGTGTCTTTACCATCGCGACAATAAATGAACACACATATAGAGGATAAATTTTTAAAATTGTATTAAAGATTTGCATTCTTTAACACATCAATATTTACCGAGTTATCAAATTTTCCAAAACAAAGAATTTTTGAACACCCTTTCGTATAAAACTTTAATGTAAAGTTCATTTGTAAAGGTCACAAAGCATATGAATGGGTTGAATGAATTTAAAAGCGACAAAACATACTGTTAGAAGGAGAGGCTTGTAATGCGGCGCTGTGGCAACGAATGAAAAAGTCTCTGAATGTATGAATCAGTCAGTTGTAGTTGTATTGGATGTTACAAATTTTGTTTCTTTTTTACTTAATTAGTTTTTTTTTTACTTTCTTAATTGGATTTTTTTAACGTTAATTTTTTTTATGATTATTGGCAAGTAGCGTTAGACGTGTGTTCATTTATTGTCGCGGTGGTAAAGACACGCTGTATGTCTAAAAATTTAGATTTTTATTCATGAAAATGTTCAGTATTGAAATGTTATCTACTCAATATATCATTTGTTCATGTAACTAAAAAAAAGAAATCGTGATTTCATCAAAGTTCTAAAATTTGTATTTTTACATAGAATTTATTGACGGAAATATCAATGAAATGATCAGACTAGGAGAGAAATAACAATGAAGTACTTATATTAATCACAGAGAGATTTAGAAAGGAAGAAAAATAAAGCAATAGACATTAATTGAACGTTTAAATTTATAAAAAGTGCATACATGTGGTTGAGGTGTGATATAATGCTTAAAATTTTTTTTAAATATTTAATAAACGTTACATCGTTTTAAAGTCGAAGGTATCGGTAAAATAACGCATATGTGCAGATCTTAAAATAATCATTCTTCATTAATCACACTTATTTAAATAAGATTTCAAAGGCATAGAAGGTAGTAAAAAAGTTAAATCTACGATTATTGGTAATCTTAGTTGCACTATCTCCTGATTTGTTTGATATTTACTCTTAATCATTTTGTTATCAGTTTTTAATTATAGCTGAACAAGTTTTAATTTTAGTGCTAATCTCTGCACTCTAGATAGCACTTAAAAATGTGATTTTTTGGACTTACAGCTAACGTGGCCAAAAGATGCAGGTTTGAATATCCCAGCGCGGAAAGGTTTTATCCATTTATCTACAAAAAATCACACTTTACTTTGTTCCAGATAAAATTCACACGTCATGGTTTAAAATCTGATACTAAAAAGAGCTATAGTCTATTTTATATTATTTAATAATTCGTTACAACATCTACGACATTTAAAGTACACAAAACATCCTCACTACAACCAACTTGTACACAAATAACAATTATTCACGATAATTAAATTACCAAAAATTATGCTTTAAAAATTAAAATATAATATAACAACAAATCAACGTAAATATCAAATTAACAATATTATCAATTAGGAGTTAATGATTTATCATAATAAATATTAAAAATATCAACGTATACGTGCGGTATATTTATGTATTTTTTTGAATATAATAACATTTAAAACGAACTGAAACATTGGGTATAAATTAATTTCATGAATTTCCATAAAAGTTAAAAACCGCATTACAAGCGCCTTGCATCTTGAAAATTCTAACTGTTGATTTGTAATAGGTAAAAAATTGTTTGATGAACTTATTTTATACTTGATAATTTCTTGTATTTACGCGATTACACATTACTAAATGAAATATTTTTTTTACGGATTTATCGCGTTTAATTTTAGTTACAGTTCCGGACGTTTCGAATTAAAATTAAAAATAAAATCGATATATCCGTAAAAATAGTTTCATTCAGTTATTTTTTACTCCTGCTTTTACATTTTAAAAACGTGTTGCATTAATAATACATTAAATAATATTATTTTTTATGCAAGCCTATATTATAAATCACTCACTGGGTTGAAATTAATTACGAAATTTTAACACAATAGACTTTACCAAATCAAGTTATTAAACTGTTATTATAAAATAAAAAAAACCTTTTTGTTAAATGTTATTCTTATTATTTTGAAAAAGAACACACATTGTTAAACATTAAGCCACTTTTGCGAATTAATTATTAAATTCCATTGGAACTGCCAAACTTAACTACGGATAAGTACTCAAATCCTTTCATTGCATTAAGATTTAAATATTTTATCAATTTACAATAAATTATACCTTTACTTGCTTATTTCTTTAATTTTGTGTTTTTAATCAATATATTTTGTATAATCGTTGCAAAAGCATAGGAATATCAATATCTATAATACATTGAACGTAAAATATACTAGTTCTATTTATACAATATCGCAAAATGGACGTTCTTCACTTGGTACATCTTCAAAACGCGTACTGTATATACCGAGGACGTCAAGCACTATATTTAACGAATTAATATTTTTAGGTAAATTTCTACATATACATCGATATAAATTTTAAACTATTAAATGTACTTACAACGAATTTTGGTGGTATAAACGAAACATGTGTTCACTAAAAACCGATTAAGACCCAAATAATTTATTTAATACTCAAAACCTATATTATGTATTTACGCATATTTGTAAATCAATCAATGTTGTGTAGTTATTTTGATAAGTTAAGTATTTAAGGAATTTAATATTTTAATATTGAAGAGAATATTGATATTAATGAACAGATTCAAAAATATGATATTCTTTTATCTATTATAATAAGTATAATATATAATAATCTATTAACAAAGTTTAATGTTTACATTCCGTAATTTTAAATCTAATAATTTTATGAGTAATCTTTTTTTAATAAATGTGTTTCATTAATAGCTTAACAATTAATAGACGTTTAGTTTCGCAAACAAACATTGTAAATCCGCCGTTATAAATTATCATTATTAAAAAGATCATAATTAGTGCGCCTTTTCATTTCGTGGACGCCAGTTGACGTAATCAATCTTTTCGGAACTTGAGCAACGAATCGAACAACGTTATAGCTAAATATAGACGAAAATTGGTTTAATAAACAAATCATAGATGTTTTATTATTACCATTAATGTTATAATGTTGTACTGTTTTATGTATTTTAAATAAAGTATAATAGAATTAAGTTTTAAGTAATGTATTAAAATATTGTAGATACTTAAATTTAAAACTTAACAGAATTGGAATGCGTTGGGCGATAATTAGCAATGTGCGAAGAGCTTGAAGAATCCCCTCCCTTTTTCTGGAGCTGGGCCCATCAACATGGGAACTTGGTTCTTGTGCGTTATAGTAATCTGTGGAGATAGATGATTGTTATGCTAAATACGTATTATATACAACTATTGTTACTATATGGATATTATTGTTGTTAAATATATTCAATTTATTTATTTTGGTAAAATTCTTGGTATAAAAAGTTATTGAGAGGCTACGATGTTTTGTATGATAAAAATCTTTAATAAATTTAACATGGTTCGTGGGTATATAGCGTTAGCGTTGGGGATAATTATATAGTATTTTATTGATAAATTAATTGATTCGTCGAATTTATTGCTTTTGAGAAATAATGAATATTTTAAATCTCATTTTGTTTATATTCCGAATAGTGTAGTGTGTCCAACCATTTGGTCATATGGTTGGAGTTGTAGTTTTGGGTCAGATTCAACAGCAAATAAGAAAAACATTTTATTACGTATAGAGCGTTGCTTCTAATCTATCTTTACGGACACATTATCCATTGAATTTAAAAAACTTGATTTTGACCGACATGTAATAGTCACTTAATATGTCCGAATCTAATTTGCGATAGCATTTTATCACTACGAAGTATAAAACAAAGTCTTCCCGCTGTCTGTCTGTCCCCATGTATGTTTAGATCCTTAAAACTACGCAAAGGATCTTGATGCGGTCTGTTTTACTAACTAGATAAAGTGATTCAAGAGGAAGGTTTATATGTATAATACATTGCACCCGTGCGAAGCCGGGGCGGGCACTAGTGTATTATCGTTAATAATACAAGGTGTTCACCTTGCACGGCGGTTGCATCCAGGGTTCGCCATCGATTTGCATCGGAAATGTCCTCTTCGTGGTTATTGTTATGGAGCTGCACTGTGCCAGACGACGACCCGACGCCCTAAGACCTGAAAGGGAAACGTAACGGGATAACTATCCGATGGCTCATTGATGCAGCAGTCTCCCATATATACCAACCTGTTCGCACTTGGCCCATATGTAGACAGTTCTCCAAACCTATCACTTCTATGAGCTTGTCACCGATGTCTGCGGAAGAAAAACATCCAAGCTTATGAATCATATTCGGAGTTGATTGATTGAGTTGGTATTATAATTATTTTTGACTTTTAAACGACGTTTGTTTTCTCAAACTGTGATTTCTTTACAAACTGCGTCTAACATTAATTTGTACTGCTTGGAGCTTGCGCATGTTGGCAAGCATATTCTGAGCAGGGATGCATGCGTCCACGCATCGTTGATAGGAGGTACTTACCTCATTTAGGTCGATCGATGCTTGTATTCTACAACTAGGTTGGTTAAAATCACCCTGGAGTAGCGGTGTACTCCATGAATGGGGTGTTTTCCAGCTGTACTCTTAGGTATAGGTATCGCGTGCACTCTTAGGCGATATAGTCACTTATAAGAATATACCCTAATTTGAAAGTTCCACAAAGCAACTTCTGCTAGCGCGATGCTTTTGCATATCCAATTTCTTTGTACTCATAAAAACGATTCAAAACTTTGGTGCATACCTATTTTCATGTCTCAACCCCGCAGGCAATAAGTATTTTACATAGTTAAATATTTTTTGTCTGCTCTAGCATAGTTAAGGAGTGTATAATTAGGAGTGTTAAAACAGAGGTAACGTGTTTGTAATTTTTATAACTTCTTTCAAGTATGTGGAGATAATTACATTAAAAACCATTTACAAACATATACATTCAGTATTACAAGGTTGTAACAACGGTAGCTAAGTATAGTTGCCTAGGGCGTCAATTAATATGTACGAATTGCTTAAAAGTCATTGTAATTGTAAAAATAAGTGCCATTAAGTGCCTCATAACGATAATCCAGAAGTGTTATTTTTAATTTATTTTAACCTTCTACTGCGTGGTACGATTAGGACCAATTAAGAAGATTGATCGAAACGCGTCAATTGTGATGAATTATTCAAACAGATAAGGAAATATTCTAAGTTCTTAATCGAAAATTATGTTGTACTTTATAATAACTTGTACCATATTTTCGAATAACGCATAGACATAACATGTAACATAAAATCATCTTCCACCTATTTATTTTTATCACAGAAATGTATGGTTATATATAATAGGTTTTTTTTTATTTTGAGGATACAGGTACATTAAAATTGGCCAAAGAATGATGAGATTTTAGTGTAAAGAAGTGGATTCCGTATAACTAACAGTGAGGAAACACCAAATTATACAGAAAATGAAGAGACTTTTTTATATGAAATTGAAGTGGTTACCTCCCACCCATGGATATTGTCAACACCTGTAGGATTGCAGATACGATACCATCTTTAAATAATGTTGTAAATACTGAGAAGAGACATATTTTAAACCTTTCAAGCTTATAACACCTAACCAGACAGCTGTTGCTAAAATATTCACCATGCTTATTAAATATTTAATAGTGAGTGTTCCAGATTGTGGAGTCGAAATTCTACACTCTTAAAGGTTGGTAATGCAACTATCAACTCGAATGATTCGATCAGTACCAATCGGTTACTTTGAATACCTACTACCGTTTACTCACAGGAACAACTAAACATACTTTTATTAGTCATAGTATACTTCCATCAACGTTTATCTTTTACTAAGCTTTTCGCTAGCTTTCAATATCATGCTAGATCTTCTTTACAAAGCATTAATAAAGGTATATGTAAATATATAATGAATTTTCGCGAGTGGTCCAATGACTGAGGTAAGGTAAATTCTATCGGAAGCCTAGCCTTTTAGTTACTTAGTTACTAACTATCAGTTGATTATCTATTTATTCTGTCTCCTGAGGACCACGCTGCTCGCTGTTGCATGAATCGGCAGGTCCGTACCACGACCTCACAGAAGACCGGCGTAAAGCAGAAGTGTTACACTTGTGCGTTTCGTCTGGTGAGTGAGGTAGCCGAGGCCCACTCTTTTAAAAGCTGGCAACGCATGTCCAATCCTAAGGATTATTTATTGCAAATGCCCATGGGCGGCGGTTATCAATCAACATCAGGCGAACCGCCAGCTCCTTTGCCACTTTGTCACATTAAAAAGAAAAGGTAAAAGAGAAAAGTGAACTGTGAAAGTTTACCTTGCTGCGCGTTGGGGAAGCGGCCACGGCGGTGCGCACCGCTCGCCCCCCACAGGTTGGAGCCACCATGAGCGTACGGTATGTTGAGCAACGCTACTCCCTGGAGGGCCGGGCCCTTGCTCAACTCCAGGGACAACCCGTCGCACTGCAAGAGTTCGTAGCGCTCCAATGGATAGTCATACTTAAAATTTGTAGAAAAAGTACGAAAAGATTGTCGCCGCTGTGGTAATCGAACCCACGTCTTCGGCGTTCCCACAGCGACGACAATCTTTTCGTACTTTTTCTACATATTTTAATGTTCAATCTTAAGTTCACAGATTAGCACTATAAAAAAATTAAAAATTTCTATAAAGAAATAGCGACATCTCTCGTAATTATCGTTGTAAAACGATATTTGAAATTGTTTGTATGCTGGAAAGGATATAGATTAGTACTTTAAAAGAAGGTAGAGATTAGTACTATAAAAAAATTAAAAAAGCTATAGATACTTACCACTAGGTCGATGTGTTCGTGTAGATTTTTGCAACTGGCTGCAAACTGTTCCGAGGTAGCGAACTCGAAGTACCATAGTTTGTTCTTCATTCGAGAGCTGAACTTGTCGGGATTCCTCTCCCGCTCTGTGTGGAATTTCACGCAGATCGCAGCATCCTGAAAGACCATTTGGCTTGCTAAGTCAACATCATCATATCAGGTAACAAGGTCCTGTCTCCGAATAGAGACATACTACCGCAATTTTATATAAGACATAAGTATAAGTAATGTCAATTTAAATATGTATTTTAAAATGTGTTATGTGTGTATTATGTGAAAAGGTGGCCAACGAGCTGTCGGTTCAACTGATGTTAAATGATAACAGTCGCCCATTGACATTTGCAACACCTGTAGGATTGCAAATGCGTTGCCACCTTTTAATCAAGTGGGGTCAGGCTATCTCACTCGCCAGACGAAAGGCAGTAGTGTTACACTTCTACATCACGCTGATCTTGTATGAGGTCGTGGTACTTACCCGGACAGACCTGCCCATTAGTGCAACAGCGAAAACTGCCGCGTGGCCCTACTACCTAAGATGGTCGCTGCCAGTGGTCTGTTTGTTTATTATCTAACCAAAATCGATTAATTGGAATTTGATTTAACCCTTATACGAGTATGTTTTAATATGAAGTAAAATTTTGTTCATGTATATATTATACAATATTACCTTTATGTCGCAATAGTGACTTTTACATAAGAGTGATGCATTAGAGAATCATAGTAATATGAAAATAATTTATTGTAGAAAACTCACGACGCCAACGGAGAAGTAGTTGTTTATGATGTTGTAGGGGACGGAAGTGGGGTGCGGCGCCGAGTCTGGCATCTGGACTTGTTCACACTATGAACATAAATATTATTCAATACATTATTATTCTTTTTGGAAATTCTAAAACCTACTTTCCGGTGTCTTGAAAATATTGAATTGTTTTTTTGCCGAACAATGAAATATCAGGAATCCTTTTTACTTGGTAGATTCAAATTACTGTGATGGTTTCATTTGAATTAAGGGACTATAGCAGATAATAACAATTTTAATTTTTCGCGTAAAATCGAGAAGTCAATATCGGGGAAAAGTGATTTAAAAATTGAGAGGTTGTAAAACGGTATGAATGCAGTAGTTAGTTAAGCTTAAAGAGCACTTAAATTCTTCTTAGAAGAAGACACAACTTATATGGCATATAAAGTACTTTTGCGCCATTGTCCGAACACGAGTCGAAGGGAATAAAACTTTTATGGTCACTTACGGCCGCGTTAGTATTTTCCACGTGTATCTGCCATCGGTCCATCATAACGGTGCTGGCGCGGGCGATCTTGTCGAGGATCTTGTGGATGGATTCACCCTCGTAGCTGAAAATTCAAAGACATAGTTCTGGGAGGTCTAGATAATGTGCGGTACATAACTGAATAAATCAAATGCGTTACTATCATTAATTGTGATTGTGGTAGGGCCACGCGACAACCTCTGCTGTTGCACGAATGGGCAGGCTCGTCTGGGGATGTACCACGGCCTCACTGAAGACCGGCGTGAAGTGGAATTTTATACTTCGCGTTTCGTCTGGTGAGTGAGGTAACCGAGGCCTAATATAAATGATGAGAGTAATAATATTATTACTCTTAAGTTAAATATTATTACTCGTAAGTGGAAGGTGCTGGGCTATAAACTTCACTTAAGATGGGGAATCCAACAAACTGTAAGAACTAAATTGTAATAAATAAGCGCCATTTGTTAAGTAAAGGAAAACAAAGCGTTAGATAGATAGATGTAACGACTAATAAATACCCAGTGCAATATACCAAATTTATTTAAAACTGATGATTCCCTTTAATCTATGCCCAAATTAAATTTGATGTATGTTTTATCTAACCGTATTTTCAAATGGATAAGTTTGCGGCCATAATGGCGCATTATTAACGTATACGCCGCCACACATGGACGACCCGCCACTAGATGGAGTAACCTGTGCGGAATGTCGCAGGATGCAGGTGGCTTAGCATAGTGGGGTATCAGTAGTGGGATCGAATTCGCTAAAATGATGATGATTATTATTATTAAGGTATTATACCACTCACCCTCCACCCCACCGCAAACAACGTGCTAGGTCGTTGCCAGTGCCAAGCGGAATTACTCCAACAGCAGGCTGTGTTTCCATCGGAACTTTGTCTGTACAACAGTAATCCCACAAATTATTTATTTATTTTTATATTTTCACCCAAAAGCATGCACGAGGGTCTGGGTATAATAAGGTTTTATTACTACCGGCTACTCTAATATTTTTGAGTTATCTTTTAGGTAGTAACAGCCGATCGAACATGGTGCGCGTAGCAACACGAACTTAGTTGTATCCGATATCCGTACATTATTATCTATACATCTATATGCTTTATTCGTAAATCTACTTCGAATATTGCCCATTGCTGCTACTGCCAACTCCCCTTGGTTATAAACACCCAGATCCAAATCAATAATCTGTGGGTCACAAAAATACATGTCCCGTGTGGGATCGAATTGAACCCACGACCACTAGCACCGAAGGTAATAGCAACTGCTATTTTTAATTTTTTTAAACCATTTTTAGCGTCAAAAACATTACTTATTCACTAAATATTCGTAAGCATGTTTGATTACCCATTGTTTCTAACACCCATCCAACAGTTCCGTCACCTCCACAGCAAATAACTCTATAGTTCTTTACATCTTTAAACATCTGCAGACCTGAAATATGTTAATGACTTAATTTAACTGCATGATTGGAGGGAGCTTTTAGAATAATCCTCTTGATTACATTGTGGCTGTTCTATCTTTATACAATATTTATAATAAATAGTTATAAGGATATTAAAGCAATTTACTCGACTCAGTATAGCGTAGTTCCCTGAAAACTGGGTCATAAAAATCCAACCCGGCCATTAGACAGGGGTAGCCTCAATGTATATGTAATAATTGTAAAATAAATGAACATTTCGATACATTTTTTTACACAACGTCATCTAGTCCCAAACTAAGAAGCTTGTACTATGCATCCTAGGTAACTGATAAGTGACAACACACTTAAACATTCTTTTCTTTTTTAAATAAATACATATTATAGGTATATAAACATATTTGTGATTATATGACAAATTACCTTGCATTGGTCCGCCCTTGGCGATGTCGTGCACTTGCCTAGGATTAAGTATATACTGTAATTTTCTAAGAACTCTTGAGCCTTGACGTCCACCGGATTTTGGATTGATGAAAACCAGCAGTGGACAGGACCCTTCTGGTGGTGTTATCTGGAATGATATAGGTGGCGCCCGTGGCTCCTTCTTTTCTTCTTTCCTCTCTTCTGCCGACGCTGAGATTGAAATCGGCAGTGATATCGACACTGGTAGGGTTTGCTGAAAAGAATACAAATCATTATTATCTTGTACAGTATAAGTTTTGACCGGTGGCGATATCTTTCGGACCTCTTTAAAGGCCGGCTTCACCATTCGGTCTTACGAAAAACTGACTTATACATTTACTTCTTTTTTTTAATAGATTAGAAAAAAAGTACTCTAAGAAAGAAGAAGTAAAATGTAATTGAAACCACATCCAAATTAAAACAATTTAAACGCCCGGGCAACCGACATCAGAATGATACATATGAAGTTTGCCAACGGTTCCTGAAAGCAATTAACACAATTAATTTTTTAGTAGATTCATAAGACTAGAAAGTTTTTCGCTACAAAAGTTCGCTGTTATTTCGATGTATTTAACAAATGACACTGAAATGTTACGTAACAAAAACGTTTAAATGTGATGTTAGAATATACAAAAGATATGCAGATAAAATACAAGATAGTTTCCAAGACTATCATTTGAGGTAACCCGTTCGAGAAAGTCTTCGATTTAGAGATTAAATTTGAAAGGGGCCAAAGATTGAGTTTCTCGAATCTAAATCGAATATGGATATATTGAAATAATTCTTTTTGTTTTTTTGCTATACATATTTTTTTGGGTTTTTGTCTACAAAGATACGCCAACCCATATTGAAATAATTGAAAAATAAAGTAGGATGAACAATAAAGGATGTGCTTATATACATAATAAATCACCTGGTCCTGGTGGGGGCGATGTGGTAGCGAGCGCTGGCGGTCCAGCACCAACGGCCTGATCGCCGTGGGCGGCAGTATGTGCTTCGCGTGACGGCCCAGAGTGCACGCCCCTCCCGCACTGCCCACGCACCGGTTATGTAGCTAATAGGAACAAAGAGAAGGTCAACAAGTAAAACAAAACCCATATTCTGGCAATAAAGACATTCATTAATTCATTCATACCTAGCCAAATATGTTTGCGTGGCAATACTAATACTAGTAAAGTTTAAATGGTCCGTGGCAGTACTAATATTCGTATAAAACGCTCATATTGCTCAAGTCAAAAGGTGACAAAGGAGCAGGCGGTTCTCATAATGCTAAGAAATCACCATTACATGGGCATTTTCACAACACCCGTGTTATTGCAATTGCGCCGCCGACCTGAGTGGTGGAGATACAAAGTTAAGTTACTCCGCTGAACAGATGAAAAAACAGAGATATAAGCACTTCCACTTTAAGTCTATATTCTATATGGAAGTGGTACTACTCTGATCAAATCAGACCATTCATGCAACAGCAGAAACTACCACATGGCTCCACTGTAGAAAATCAGGCCTGATTATGACGTCATCAACGAGATCAAACTATAAATTCGGTGTTTCACTGATTTTTTGGTAGTGTTTTAGGTCGGGTTGGGTCCGATGACCTTTCATCCTCGTCTTGTACCGTATTAATAAGTTTTTACGTTTTGAGTATCGGTCGACGTTAGCAAACAGTAGATTTTCAGTCTATTTTATAATGAAAATAATATATCTGTTTTTAATAATCTCGTAATTTCACTTGTTGTTGCAATGCAAGTCGAAGTATTTTTGGTATCAGCTAGCAGTAAAACTCATGCGTGCAAAAGAATGATTGGTAATACCGCGACATATTATACAGTTTTAAAAGATTTTCTTTAAAATGTTTACATAATATAACTGTGTCGTGTTGGGTTATCTCAAAGTGAGGACTCGTGTCCTAATTTTACTCGAAGAACTTTTGATACAATAAGAATGGTCCGAAACGAGTGCGGCTTTATATCCAACGGATTTTTTATGGCCACGGAACGACATGTTGGCGTCGAACGTAACCTAAGACATTCGACCCTTTTCTCCCAAGGGATCGGTTCGTCGACGAGATAGATTTATTTGCTCAAACTTTTTGTTGCCCTCTTTTCCAGGCTAACCCTGTGTAAAATTTGCTATTTCTTACTAAATGTTTAGTATTATTTGTACAGATTTTATCATTTTTCGCTTAAAACAGCACGCTTGAGCTAATATTTTGGTACTTATTAAAAATGGACAATGGTTTTTTTTGGCTAAAATTACACGCGAAAAATCTCTAAATCAGTTTTATTTAACCATGTCTAATCAATGTTTAGCTTTTAAACAGAAATAGGCAATTGTGTACTCGTGTGCAGTAACATAGGTAATTGAACTTACTGTGATATGGCACCATCGACAGTGTAGGCCTGTGATTCCGTTGTAGCCTTTGATCTTTTTCCGACATCTCGCGCATTTCCCGTGGCAATTACCTGCGCGTAATGATAACATTTCATTAAACATCATTCACACTAATCATGTGCGCAACGTTAGTTTGTGACTATTAATTACTTATAACTAAATCAATTGTTAGAGTTCTCTACGGAGCTTAACTTTTTTATTTCTTAAGGTATGTTTTATTCTCAAAGAACAAAAATAATAAAAACGCATACAATGTATGTAATAGAATCGCAATTACATAAAGACAGTTAAAACAACTTAAACAGTTAAGACAGACTATTCTACTAAACTATTTCAATAGTTACCTTCAACCCAGTGATGAGCGAGAGTGGCAGAGGCCCGCCGCTTAGAGTACGTCGCTATGCAGGACGCAGGGGCCCGTTGCACGCAGCGCTCGTGAACGGTGAACTTGCAGACTGACCGGACGATTAGGTGGCATTTATAAAGAGAATAGATAAATTATACGGCGTCTTCGGGAATTTTATGTCTAAGCCGTGCGTCCAAGTAAAACTTTTTTAATTTTTAAAATTTTTTAAGTTAGCCTTTAGTGGTAAAGTCTATAGCCTGATGTAAATCACCTACTAAGTAATCAACCGATATATAACGGCCCCAATTACTTCACTCAACAGATGAAACGCCAAAGTATTCGCAAGCCTTTTGTCAGGCTGTGAGACTTTCCCGTACAAGCCTGCCCATTTATGCAACGTCAGAAGCTATTGCTTGCTCCTATCACAATGTGTTATTCCCTCTGTTGTAGATTATGAACCTAAATATTGCGAGTTGATTTATTTTCGTGATTCAGAAACTTTTACGAACAAGCATACTTATCTCGCAAAAGCTCCATTGCTATCTTAAAAACGGCATAGGAATGAGCACAAGAGAGCATACAAGGATTAACAAGTAAGGAAATATTCATTTTCAATTTATTCAAATACAATAAACTTGCATAGTTTTAATGTAGATATATAAATCAGTAAGATCTCCATTAATTATTTTTTCGTAAATTATGCTTGAAGATTCCTTGTTTTTAAGCTAATTGATTCCCTGAAACTTATCTATTAAACTTCAGAGACCAAAGCGTCATTTAAGATATTAGATTAACTATAATCTAATATCTTAGTATTTTCTTGTCCAGTGCATGCACATATTGTGTTTTAGTAATGCAATTTATCCATTAATTAATAAGATGTCTGTTTATGCATCTATTCAGTAATAAAAATTAATAGTCTCATATAAGATTCTAATAGAATGACTGGATTATGTGCTATGCGCGTTCATCCTCTGTTAATTAAGATCCACTGTAACGTTATAGCCTGGCATTACTCTCGATTCGCGTTCTTACATGTTGCTTGTTAGAATGGTAAACGCTTTGATATTTATTTCAAATGTTGGGATCAGAATATCCTGAGAACTACCTCTGTATTGAGTTTTTTGCATGATATTTTTCTTCACCAATAAGCACGCGATATATCTCGTCAATGTTATAAACGATTTATTTTTTGCCATTACTGAAATATGAACTGATTCCTCGAGGTATACTCAATTAACAGCGATTGCCACTATTTATTATTTAACGAAGTTTCCGTCCAAACTCATTAGCTTTTTACTAATATAAATTATTTTACTTACATATACAGCAGAGACCTTTCTTTCCTAAACCAACCAGCATGTTAAGGCAAAGGTTGCAATAAGCGGGCCGGTTGAAATGCTTCAATCTCCATGCATGCTCGCCATCTTCTTTGACATTCGTGTCTAGACCCAAGAGCACCAGGAGCGGTATCGTTGTCATGCTGTAAGGATACTTAATATGATTTAATTGTTATTCCACTTGATCCCCACGTCACCGTGTCAGAATTTATATTATTAAGATCGCCATCAATCAGGTGGCAAATATGATATCACGTTAATAAAAATTGTATGTCTTAATTTTCATGTTTTGTGTGCTATTTTTTCATCGGTACCTACGTCATAACTTCCATAATTATTCTTCAGAGCCGGCTGATTCATGTGACACCAGAATTTAGCGAAGATATAATGTTATCTTTGGCCCTACCATAGATTGTAAGGCAATTACAGGTAATGCAAATTTGCCATGCATAACAAAATAGGTGGGTTCATAGAAGAAATTCATATGTATATTAAATTAATTTCGACCGATGACGTTGAAGGATAAAATTTAAACTTGTAGCGTTTTTAAATAGCTGGTTTGTTAAACATAGTAGATTGTATGGAATAAAAGATGTGCTGACCCTCCTCTTTTCCATTCGTCGAGAGAAACTGTTCCATCTGCATCGTAATCTATCTCAACCATCATGTCTTGTAGGATCTGTAATAGTATTTATTAAATTAATACATATAGTGAGCAAGTACGGTCAATTTTGTGTCGTTAGCTAAGTTTTTATTGAGAATATTCAAGAGTAGGGATACGAGATATATTAATGAATAATAAGACGTTTAAAAAGTATAATCATCTAAGTTAAAAGTAACCACTCTGACCGGTCTTAGCTCTGAAGTCTCCCATCCTAGGTATTCCGCAACGGTCATCATTTGGTTGACGATGCAGTCCATCTCGTTGGTGTCCAGCACTCCATTACCATCAGTGTCGTACAAGCGGAACATAACTGGAAAATATGCAAACACGATAGAGTTTTTGTCTTGTTAGTTAGTTGTTAGTTCTACAAGTTCACGGATTTGAAATATATCTGGTTTAGAACTTTGCGAATTGGCGCATATAAATGCTTTGAAATATGACGTAAAATAGTTGCCAAATACAAAATGATGACATGTTTTATTACTTAGAATAATAAAACATACGATGAATTTTTTTTTAAGAGTGCGTATGAATGAGGTATGAAATAGGGTGAGGACCATAAAATATTTTCTTATAAACAGAGGAAAATGACGTGCAGCAATTAGTGCAGGGCATAATTTAAATGAAAATATTTCATTATGATCAAAACGAGGTATTTGCTGCTAAAAGAGATATATTATAAAATTCTAATAAAATCTAGATAGTTATTATTTAAATCACCATAATATCTAGCTGGATAGTAGCATATTTATCTCATCAAACATACGAAAAACATAAAAAAGAACGACACAAATAATCTACTTACATTCTAATTTATCTTCAGGTCTTCCCGCTTCTAATAAGGATAGATAGCACACAATATCCTTCAGGGACACTCGGGCAGTGTGTACTTCCAGAGTTGACGGACGACGCATTAGGTGTTTGAAATCTGAAAATAATGACTTCATAAAAACATTCAATTGATTAAAATCTTTAAATTAAAAAATAGCAAATCACTCTTTTTGGGCAACCGAACCCAATGGATCGGTTCCCCAATCTCCCAATGGAGAAGAGGATCAAATAAGTTAGTTTTAGGTTCGACGCTAACAAGTCGTTCCGCGTGCACGTTGAAATCGTTAGGAATAGAGCCACGTGCGTTTCTGCCCGACACCACTACTACCTCAACTCCTCGAGAAAAATTAACTCCTTCCTTACGTGACTCCATGGTAAGTTTCCCAAGCACATATAAAAAATTTCAGTTAAAAATAATTTCATCTGCAAAACAACTGGCGCATGCTGGTATCAGAAAAACGTCGACCTGCATAGCGACTAAAGACTCCCACTACTACTAACTGAGCATTTGAGAGACGTAACAAGCAAAAAAACAATCCAATCCGAACGCGTCTGTTTATCGTCCCCGCGTAATGCCCTCATAAACCCGGCTATGGAAGGGAACGAAAGTATTCGGACTGGCAACACTACACCCACACGTAGTCTTTGGCACAACAACAACAACGCAACGTAATTTTTCCTCGCCTTCGAGCACTGCGAAACCGGCCCATCGCTTTATGCGTAAAAATAAGTCTCTGTATGCTGGGTAGGCCCGTTCTTACCGTTACCAGCTAGCGATTGATAATACAGTCGACAACTGTCGATGTCCGATCTCCAGTACTTTGACGACTCGTATTCATCATTTAAACAGCGCGTGACTCTATTAGTTTTAGGTCTAGCAAACTTGCGGAAACTATCTTTTCTATGGGTTGAGTATTATATGAAGCTTTATAGTCTCCGAACTAAAAGCTTAGCTTCAACAAACATGCTATATGTGTGTGTGTGTGTGTGTTTGTTACTCATTCACACCACAAAGATTTCAACTGAAAAGAATAATAATAGCAAATGAAAATTTTATTTCAAAAGAGATTTTATAAAAGTAGGCTTAAACAAACCTTCGATTTTCGTGGATTGATTGACACGAAGCGAGTTACTGCTCTTCCTGCTGGAGTTTCTCGACATCTGGCTGTGACTCGGGCTCGTCTCGTTGCGTCGGTCCAGACAGAGCTCGTGGGAAGAATACGATGGGTGAGTAGTTACTGCGAACATTGGGTGGACACTCCCTAAAATATGACATGACGAATTTTAAACTATATTAATATTATTAGGAATAATCAGGAATTTGAGTATTATATAGGTTATATTTAACATTGAATAAGATAAACTTGAAAATATAGTGTTATATTTGAAAACGATGTTATGTTGGATGATAGTAGCTGCATAAACAATGTAATTTTAGTGTAAAAATATTTTTATAAAGCAGATAAATTGGTTATTCTTAAATTGTGTTTGTGAATTTTTTAATTTCTTAGATTTGATTCAGAGAAAGAAAATCCATTATTTATTACATTTGAAGATATTTAAGAATCGTTATGTGTTGTGTATATTGTTTTATTGTACAATAATTTAATGAGAAATTGAAAACAACTTTCTATTGATATTTTAACATCAATACTGTAATAACAGTACATTCAGTAAAAATACAACATCGGGTTTATTATAAATTTGTGTCTAAGTTTATATTTTCGTTCAAATTATAATTATATAAAACTAATTCTTGTCTCACCGGTGCGACTTCGTGAACCCTTCTCACTGCCATCGACAGAATCTCCGGAACTTCTGCCGAGTTGCTGTAACCTTTCAGCTAGGCCATGGATCTTTGAAGCCAAGCTTAATTTACCCTAAAAAGAGCAACAACTTAAGGATAACAACCGTTATGTCACTAGTGCATCACTTCGTTTCTTTACATAATTTCCATAAATTAATGAATTAAAGAGCCGTGATAGCTCAGTGTCCGGGCGCTCGCCTTAATTCAATATACTCGAGCAACCTGAGTTCGATCCCCGGTGCCGGCACCAATGAAGTTTTTAACTTTAAGTACTGACTTATCACGTGCTCCGCGGTGAAGGAAAACATCGTGAGGAAACCTGCATATTTTCGAAACAATAACAAAAAAAATATATTTCGAATATATGTGAAGTCCGCCAATCCGCAGTGGGGCCGCGTGGTGGACTATGCCCTGATACCCTCTGTATAGAGGAGGCCTTTGCCCAGCAGTGGGACATGTATAGGCTGTTACTTTACTTTACTTTACAATGAATTAAATGGCACTTGTGATATTATTAAAAGTGACCCCAGTATTACCAATTATCTATGAATGAGTGAATGAATATTTACTTTTTTTTTACACACACCATGGTAAAAGAGGATACATTAAAAATAACAATTATGCAAGGGTTGTACAATGGGCGGCCTTATAACGTAAAGCAATTTCTTCCAAGCAACCTTTGGGGACGTATGTATATATGCTGTTACTGTACGTCACTTTTAGGTTACCTTACTACTAGAAACTTAATAAACTTACCTGATGATCTCCGTGAGAAGTGACGGGTGCGCAAGCCGCGGTAGAGCTGGCGGCGGCCATTTCTCGTAACGCCGGCCGCCTGTCCCTCCGCACGAATGAAAGAAACAGATGCCTGTGAAGCATTCGAGACATACATGGTATGTTATTACAAATTTATGTTTCCTAAAATTCTTTTTTATGATAAGCTAGCAAACGAGCTGGCAGTTTACTTGATGTTACGTTTTTATTGGCAACACCCGTAGGGTTGCAGATGTGTTGCCACCTTTTTATAAGGCGGGCCCGGCTACTTGAATCACCGATACAAAACGCAGAATTATAACACTCCCACTTCACACCGGTCTTCTGTGAGATCATAGTACTCACCCAGAGAACCTGCCTATGCGTGCAACAGAGAAGACTGTTGTGTGGCCTTACAACAATTATCCTTTTTACTATCCTTCACTTGCGACAAATGTTATATCCGTGGGTTTAACTTTAATAATTTACCTATTGTAACGCCCTATTAATAATAATAAATATTATTATTAATTAGTCATAATAAAGACCAATTTAGATGAAAATAAAACGTTTAAGAACGTTTAATCACAATAAAAGTTAATAATATATACTTAAATTTAAGAAATATAAGTGTTAGTATGAGAAAATGATATTACCAAAAATTGATAAAAAATAGTTAAAAATCACTTAAAATACTCAAAAAAGGATATTTATTAAAAATATAGCAAGATACGATCACTATTATGTCAATTAAATACAATTCCATACTTAGTGATTTCTAAGGGAAGTATTATGTACCGTGCGGGGACACAATTGTATGATCGTACATATATAAATACAGAGGTCGATCGCGACTCTTAGTACTATAGTCAAAGTACATTGTATGAACGTCCCATACCAAGATCATATGGAAGCAAGGTCTAATGAATAAAAGTGATAATATGTGAAGGCTCAGAGAAAAAATAATAAATATATAAATATAATGAAGAGCAATGAATGACTTGGGACTTTATAAGAGATATTACTATGGAGTTGCATGGTACTTCTGTACGACGATATGGTATGATATGGTCTACGGTAAACGTGGAACCATGAATGGATATGTCTTGAGTGGAGGACATATCATCGATAGCTGGTGGTAGTTGGCGTCTTACTGACCATCACTATGATACGTTGGCTGTCATTCGGCATAGTAAGAGTTTGGTGGTAGTTGGCGTCTTAGTGTGTTGCACTATGATACGTCGACTGATCATCTGACTTTGGGGAGTCTGGTGGTGGCTTGCGTCTTAGTGTATTCCACTATGATACGTTGGCTATTACTTGGCTTGGGTGGGGGTCCGTTGGTGGTTTGCGTCTTAGTGTTTACGCTATGATACGTCGACTATCATTCGGATCGTGAAAGAGTATGTTTGGACACTTCGTGTGTTCCGAGTATATTCTAAACTTTGGAGCCGAAGTTGATTGGAGTTATATTGGTGTGGTGTGAGGGTGTGACACCTACGCGATAGTCACATTGATGCATGCGGCTATATGCAGTACTGCGTCTTGTGGTAGTTGCGGGGTGATCTGCGCCTAATATCATTGCATCGTATGATTCTGGTTGACGGAGGTTCGAGGTGATGATGTCTGCTGTGTATGCGGATAGGCTGTATGTTGACGTGTTGACCTGCGATAGTTGTATTGATGCATGTTGCATTTAGTGACATTGCGTCTTACGACATTTGGTTGGGAGACGACGCTATTCATAATGGCCGAGTCTGGGTCTCGGTTTGATGCACATCTCAGTAGATTTGTCCAAGTCAGGTTCCTGATGACGGAACTGCAGACTGTCTGACCTCCTGTATACGTATTAACATAATTAACGAATCTCAGTAAAGTTCCCACCGTTCGAACGAATAATGGCAACTTGCTGGTGGGTGAGACAAACTTGATCGAAAATACACTATACTCTACGTCAGAGACACTGACAAATAAATATATGTTGCCAATTATAAACCCTTCTGATGGCTAAACATAAAAATCACAACTATGGCTATGTCTGACTATTTCAATGGTTGGTGGAGCATATGCGTTTACCTCATGTGAATGGTAGCTGGCGGGAGACAACCTCTCAAGGCTGCGGCGATGCCGTGCAACGTTTTTACCATACCCTTGGGGTGAGCAGTGACTCATAACGCGCTCTGCGACGAAATGTCGTGCTAACCTTTTTAATGGTGGTGATGCCAAAACACTAACAATCACGTCTGCAGTCGCGGCGATCTGGCAAAAGTGGTGGCGCTTACGGAGGGCTTATTATATCATAGGGCCAGAGTGCCTGTCGTGATCTTTAACACATGCCCAAAACCGTATTGACGTACATTCACGAAGACTGGATTTGTCGTTGACTTGTATGACGTTTACACGCATTGACATGCGCGACTTCGGTCAAAGTTTGTGCTTACGCACTGCCAAGGGGCCAAGCCCTCTTTATGCTGGTAAAACAGCTTTGCAATGGACTTCGGTCCTTTCCCCAACGCAATATGTTGGTTGGCGCTCACCGCACACGGCGTTGGTGAGTGTTTTCATGGAGCCGTGTGCCTTCCCTACATTTTTTTTAAAATGTGGGGGAGCTGTAGATTTGTATCGGGTATGTAAAATTGATGTGAGCCCTTTTCAAGAGAGAAGGGATATTAATTTAAAATTATATTGTGAGCCCTTTACAAGCGTGAGAGGGAGTATACTATATACTCTGAGCCCGTCTCAAGCGAGTCGGGATTAGTTGTTAAGAAAGCAATCTGACATTATCTCTGGCTTATACCACGACTAGTGAATATTTATCTATCCAAGATTCACCTAAAAGAATCAAGTTACTAAATAAACACAACGTAAATGAGGTCCTACCGAATATGACGATCACAATAATATTTTATACGGCTAATTATTACCTTTAGAAAGATCCTATAGAAAGATCAATAATTTATCCTGGTCACGTAATGATGTTATATGATTTATTCGTATAACGGGGTAAAAATAAGTATATACGTATTATATAAGTATACGTAGTATATAAGTATATACGTAAGTATATAAGTTTATATAATTATATATGCAAAAAGGGGCTTCAGTTACACTATTATAGAGTAGTATTATAGGTGTAGGATTCAGGATTATACGACCGTTATGTCTAACATTTAAAAATTGCAAAAGTAGATAATAATTTTATTCTTCAATCTTGAATTAATCTTTTAGGTACATGTGAATTGGCTTACTGTTTACAGATTAATTGTCAATGTAAGTACAAGAAATGAATGAATTATACTATATAAATAATAAAAAGAATTTATAATAAATATTAAAAAATATTAATTCAGACCTGGAGAGTTCATCAGGAGTCGACACTTCGAGAAATGTGTCCAAAAACCACCGGAAACCTTCATAGTCGATGTCCTGTAACAAATAAATATCCAGTATAAATTTCACTATTTATTCTCATTGAATTATTTTAAATTTTATTACTTTTTACTTTTTATGACTCGGTGGCACAGATTACGCATCCTGCACTGGATTTCAAGATACAATTAGTATTTTGAGCACAGATCGGATACAAATTTATTACATTTTATCTGAAGCCTGTGTTACAATGTAAGACGTCTAACGCCTGAGTCTACGCCGTGAATACGAAATTATAATTTAAATTTAATTTTTATTTATTTATTTATTTAAGTTACACCAACAAGATGAACACTAAATTTAGACAGGTAATTTTACAGGTAATGTTAATAAAAACGGTGGTAGGGCGTTCACGCAGCAGCCTCGGCTGTGGCACGAATGGGCAGGCTCGTCCGGGTAAGTACCATGACCTCACAGAAGACCGGTAGCCGGAGCCCAATTTTCAAAAGGTTGTCAACGCATCTGCAACCCTCGGGTGTAGCAGATGTCCATAGGCGGCGGTATTCACTTAACATCAGGTGAACCGCCTGCTCGCTCGGCAACTTTTCACATAAAAAAAAAAGCTTGGTGAGTGCCATCTCAATTATAGGTGCAAACCACTATGCTTTAAATTTAACAACACAAGAGCTTAAAACTATTTGTGCGAAATAAAAACACTAAATAAAAGATAAAAACTCGGCGAATAGTGAGTACAATGAAGTTTGCAGCATCAATGTTAACAAAAAAAGTAAATCCAAAAAAAGTAATCAAAAATTTAAAAAAACATCAAATGAAGAAAAAAAATAAACGTAAACATAAACAAACATGAAAAATTAAGTCAATTAAGGGCTTCACGTACATATTTTTTAAATTTAAAATATTTGTTTGAGAAAATATCAATATCAAGTGCATTATATTACTGGTTCTCACAAGATTTATAAGTCCATCAGTTTTTTTAGGGGACTCATTAACACTAGAATTATGTAATGCGTTGTATGTAGTCATTAATTTGTTAAGAAGTGAATGTAGACCCAAGTTTCTTCGCGCTGCCTTAGTGCAGAATGGAATAAAGAATACTTTTTATGTCTAGGAAGTCTTGAAGGTACAGAGATACTTAATTGTATGAGTAGCTTGGTAGAATCAATATAACCATTGACTAGTTTGTACAGGAACATGGCGTCAAGCTGCTTTCTTCGATGCTAAAGCGATGCTATACGAAAATATGTTAGCCGGCCATCATAGCTCGGTAGTGGTTTTGCTCTGAACACTCTCTGTTTACTAGGGGATAAGGTTCACTTTCGTGTGCAGGTGTTTGTTTACAGAAACGCGACTAGTTACTCTGAGGAATTTATTAGAACTAACTTACGACAAAAGGTTGACATTTTTAAAAATATGAAGGTAGGTATCGACATTCCGCCCACCAAAACATCTGTTTTTAAATACATAAATGCTAATAGTATGATACTTAGCAAGATGTAAAGAAGTCTAAGATTAAAACTTACATAATAAAGTACCTAAGTAGCATACAGTCTAATATCATTAATACTATCTAAATTAAGAGTGCTTAACTGTAATATAATTAACAATCAAGCACTTAAAAAACTAACAATAAAATTGAATATAAACAAAAATAACGCATCGCAACACAATAAGGTTAAACGCGAGCGTCCATACTCTGTTTATGACTACTACAAGATTTCACATACACAGAGAAAATATCTGGTATATAATCCGCGTTACATGCAAACGCGGTCAACTTGATGCTCAAACACATTAGCATCCTATATAATAATGCTGTAATATACAATGAATAGAAATAGACAAACGTTGTTGACAAATCAAACGACTTAATGGACTGTATTAATATTAACGGAAATACTTATGTTTATTAAACTATATCATTGAACAAAACAACATGTTTAGTACATAAAAATCTTATTCTTGTTCTAAAATGAAAATCTTTAAAATAATCAACGTATTTTGTAAAGTTAAACATATTATATGCTGTGTTAGTATGCTACATAACAAGTTATTATAGGTACATTGTAACTAGATAAGTATTATTAGTAAGTGGTACTACCAAACAGTAATAACAAATTTGAAATTAAATAGGTAGGTTAAGAATTTACATACATAACAACCTAATTTTTATAATTATTTAACAGAATTAAAATAAGATTTACAGATTTCATTCATTTTATAACAACAAAGTAAACGTGAAGTGTGTTGTTATAGTTTAGAATTAATTTTACCGTTTGAGCGCTGCATTAAATGTTATCTTTTTATTGACAAAATTATAAGTAAAATAAACATAGATATTTACTCAATAAATACTAAACCGATTTTAAATTTTCCTTACCTTTAGAAACATATATTAATAAAATAGTCTGTATTTTATCCAAAGATTTCTACTTAACACAATGAAGTTGCGGGCTACAGTTGGTACAACAAAACATCATGACGCTGACCGCCCACCATAATCTAGCCAAATAGAATACCTCGGGTTATTCATCTGGGTTTTTAGGGAGTAAAATTAATTTTGATAAAGGCCTTTTCAGAACATTATCGCCTTTGCACTGGACTGATACGACGCGTACTAAGTCGTCCGTGCCTGGGTGCAACGCTTTGATTCTTCCCAGGAGCCACTTGGCTGGCGGCAAATCTTCATCCTTTATGATGACTACATCTCCAACACAAGGTGATGACACGACATCCTGCCATTTGTGCCTCTGTTGTAGTGTGTTGAGGTATTCAACCTGCCATCTCTTCCAAAAATCCTGGGTTTGTTTCTGAATAAGTTGCCAGCGACTTAGTTGACTTGTACTATTTTGGTCATATCTACAGTCTGGAATGCTTATGATTGGCTCGCCAATAAGGTACACAATAAATAATAGTGGCACGTTCTGAAGAAGATGCGTCGAAAAATGATTTGCAAAAAAAAAACTTAAATGTTCCGTTCCTTAATGTTCTTTTGTTTTCAATTATGTGTGTATTCACTATTGTCACTTGTATTAATCACTATTAGTCCAAAATTGTTTGTATTTTCACCAATTTACATCGATTTTTACTTCACGAATGATTTTATTATAGGTCACTGTCAATGATCCTCGGTCGATGGACCATGTTTACTAGGGGATAAGGTTCACTTTCGTGTGCAGGTGTTTGTTTACAGAAACGCGACTAGTTACTCTGAGGAATTTATTAGAACTAACTTACGACAAAAGGTTGACATTTTTAAAAATATGAAGGTAGGTATCGACACTCTCTAACCGCTTAATATACAGGGTGGCTTTTCTAAGGGTATCCATTTTTTTTGTTAAATTCTAGACATAAATAATGTTATATAAAAAATGATAAGTGTTTAAAATCACTCGTAAGAAATTATGAAATTACTCTCTACACACTATTGATAGGGCTGCCTCCCACAATGAAATTGAGCCTTCATCGAATCCACTAAAGAGCCCCATACCGATCATTAGTAAACATAATGTCCGCTTTTATTCGTTTGTTACTGCAGCCATGGTATATCTTAGGCACTGTTATGTAGAACCCGGAGCACTCTGAGTCGAGAAAGTACCCAGTATATATATATATATAATTATTTTTACGTGTGTATGTCACTGAACTCGTCCTAAACGGCTGGACCGATGTCAACGACATTTTCAACGAAAATTTCTTCAGGTCGATCCCAGAATGGTTTGGATTCACACTTTTTGTTCACAAGTTGTTGTCTGATTTAAGTCGTGTGTACAGGAAAACATCAGTCCGGACATGGTTTCAATGCGCTTCTGTATGCGTAGAGGTCATTAATTACCATATACCGTATATATATTCAAATATTTACTTATTACACACAGAACGACGACGGCGTTTATATATATTTCACAAAAAATAGTATAGTTGTTTTATGACGATCAACATATAATAATGTCAAGTAGCGCCATAAACACGCTCTCGTCGTTCTCTATCTAATTAATAAATAATTAAATTGGTTATAACAGGTAATTCGATGCGTGCTATAATAAGCAAAAGCCGAAGTAATTAGTTTGTCCTGAATTGATGCAATCTGTTGAATCCGATTAACCTAATTGTGAAATTGCATAATTAAAGTGAATCTTTCAATAAATTAGTTTAGATTAAATTCTCTTGACGTTATTAAGCAAATTGAGGCAGTGATGTATTTGCATATAAGAAGGGTAATACCAGTTGCATATTTCATACGCTTGACTGCTGGCCATAACCTTTTTTCTCTTCTTCTGTAAATTTTGAGTTTAAGAGTATTTAATAAGAGAATTTCAGGAAATTTAAGAAAATTCGTTGTTTTCGTAAGCCAGCATAAAACAAGTGAAGTTATTGAATGTGATAATTTAGGTTAGATACATGAAAATTATTAGGCATACACTTTAAAATTAAATAACCCGGTTAATTTAATATTTAAATAACTGTCAACATACTCACTAAGATATGACCACATAGTCGCTTCTGCTGTCGCACGAATAGTCCGTTTCTTTCGAGGGATTACCACGGATTAACAGAATTCCAACGTGAAGTAGAGAGCATTTAACGGAATTAATGTATAGAGATAGCTGGGATTTTAAGGGTTGGTAACGTACCTATGAACGCAGTGTATCTAAGAACCAGATGCACTGGTGCAGCTGTCACCCTTAAGGATGTTCATGTTAATACACTTAACGTCAGGTGAACCACCTGCTCGTTTACCCACTTTTCTCATTAAAAAAATGTCATCTATTGTCATGATTATCAAGTATTTACTATTCAATTGGTGTTGTTAAGTATTTTTTCATTCCATTAATTAGTCCAAGGAAAGAAGGTATATAAAATACTTAATAGAGACTTGGAGTAAGAATTTTATCGACATAACCGAAATACTTGCACAGCTTAATAACGAGTCTGCGGTTGAATTTCTTAAATTGCGGGGAGCTATTTTCTAAAATACTGTCGAAGAGCAAGATCTCGTCCTATTCGTTCCAGCTAGCGAAAGAGTAATAACTAAAAGA